CAAGAGTAGTAGTATTGGTCGTTATCGTAGTCTGGTTTAACCGCAATCCGCGTTTAATTTTGTTAATTCGTTCTGGTAAAAAATAACGGAAGTAACCGCATGGTAAACTTATTTTACTTTAAAAGGCCATTAGTAAAACGACATTTTTCGCGTGAATAACGCACACAGCTACACTAAATTGGCCTCCGCTTCCGTTCAGCCAGATCTACCGACCGATGTGTACGTAACCGGTCGCTTGCTTGTCCACAGACCTGTTGGTGAGCCGATTCCGACGAGCCGAAGTAGTTGCCATCGCAGCCTCCATTTCTTTTTTGCCGGCCGAACGTGGCTGTCTTTCCGTTCCGTCTTTGCTGCCGGCCCAAGCTGGGATATTTAGCCCCGCCGGGATTCGAGCTTGGATCGTCCACACTCTTTGGCAGACCCGAAGCTGAGGCGCCCCCCCACTCCGCAGGGTGTTGAGCCACTCATGACAGAACAAGCTGCATACAACATAAAGTTTGGCTCTAAAACGAATCGGCAAGGCAAAGGCTGGGGCGAAGCAAGTCTTCGATATTCGCGTCATTGTCTTGGATGACTACAATTTCCATGTATGCACTACTGAATACTCGAAGTGAGCGACTTGAACTGACCCAATCTAAAAGCCTTGGTCACTAGAATTGTTTGATCCCTTCCCCCTCTCTGGCCCTCTTAACTTGTGAATGCTCAATTTTTCTATTAACTGCTATTCTTACATTTAGCTGTTCTTAATAAAACTATTGTAGGTTTTACTTTTTGAGTAGCACTTTAGGCATCGTAGGCATTTCCAGTGCTTTCAGCATGCCTAGTTGTGCTTATTAAGATTATTTCAATGTCTATGTTTTGAGTAGTGTTTTGAGTAGTGTTTTATGTAATATTGACATTTTGACAGTTATCACCATGTTGAGCTGCAATCACTACACTTATTGCAAATTCTATGCTTAGCCATCTTTTCATCGAATTAAGAGATTTATTCTCTTCGCGTTGCAGGTGGCCTTCCTTTTGTTTATGCTTTATCTAGAACTTCTCCTATCAGAGCGCATATGCAACATACTTTAAGGAAGCAAATCAACTTGCAAGTAACCGGTCGGTACGCCCATTTCCTATCTTTTTCTCCTCTTCACAGTACCAAACTGCTAGGTCTACTTTTGATACCCTTATCGGATCAAGCTAACAATGATCATCTTGTTGCTAGTACTCACTTTATAATTTATTTCGTCGCATACTATTCTCCTATATCGATCTCTTTCTCTGGCAAGGTCGGACGCCAGATCATAATGGCAGTTAATCGAATTCGAGGTACACACAAATTGTTCAATCAACTTGAGAAAAGCTGTTGATTGTAATGGAAAATATATGTTTGCCCCACCAATAGTCCCACTATAGAAACTATCTGGCTTGCCCTGGAAGTCGCATCTGCCCCGATCAAGCAATATGGTGGCTTAGATATTTCGGTTCAGTCGGAATGCATTAACCTTTTGGAAGGCTCCTGTTCAAGCCTATTATGTCAACCCGAGAAAGTGAGTTATTTAAATTACTTATCTTCGTCCCTTAATGGTGCAGCATAAAATTGTCTGAGTCTCCGAATATATTATGCTTCTTTAGGGGCTGAAACTATGAGCTGATATTGTTCTTGATGCTTTGTCGTAATAAGGATAGTCTGATTTTATGTAATTAATTCTTCAAAAGTATGCTCAACCTGTGATAGCCTCATCATGACTATCTGGGTCGGTTAAAGTGATTATGAACTGATTACGAAATTCTCCCCCAATGATAAACTTGCCTTATGAGAGGCAAGGCTAACTAAATTGTAATGGTGTATTCAGGCCGGTTGATATGCCTGTGGGAAAATCGAACCGTATGTGGAGTAAGGGGGACAAGTCGTAGATATGAATGAGATGATGTGTCCTTCTCTTTGGTCACAGTCTCAGTTAGCTTTATAGGGTTGGTTCGACTTCGTTTTGGCAACTTGGTCGGATAATCATGGAGACCTCGTGGAATGTACCTAGGCCCGTGTCATCTGCCATAGTATTCGTGATTTCCAGCATCTGACCATTGACGGAATCGTAGTCGGCATAGTCAGTGAAAGGCGCTATCGCTAGCACATAATGACAAATCAGCAAAGGGACAGGTGAACGCATTCCTCTTGACCAATTTTCTGTTCAACCGTCAATGTGTCAACATTGCGCAAACACTAAAAATTGGATATGAATACCAAGATGTTGAGGTCTCTGGTGTGGTCTCTGGTATGGTCGCTGAAATCGGTTAACCAGAAAGATAAGGAACGGATCTACGAGACAATGAGGGGATCCGGATTGGAGGCCCAAGTCGGATCCGCCGATCAAAAGAGAGGGGGTCGGTGTGAATAGCAAGTGTGATGAGGCCACACTAGATTTGCCACAAAAGTGCACACATTTTGACGAGTGGAATGTAAACAAGTGCAAAGTTTTTATAGGGCGGCAGTGGGATAAGAGGGTAAAGAGTAGATAGATAGACAGTGACAAAAAGAGGAGTGAGAGTGTACCGGTTTTTGGCAGAACGCTTGTCAAGGGATTGACTTCACTTGTCTCTTTGACGAGTTCGTAGTTTGGTGCGGAGAATGGCAAAATTCACTGATGATGCCGACGTTTAAGAAAGTACCAAGTCCACTGCTGGGAATTATGACAAATACTGACAGACGACTTCGGACTTGGTGCGTTCTACTAAGTCACCCTGACAACAAGACCAAGTTGCGACAACGTGGTCAAGCTACTTTACTAAAAATAGGATTTATCCAAGGCCTAGCCTGCCAAAATATCGTGTCCTATCCGTGATCTATTGTCAAAGGTGGAAATCTGGAGTGATAGTATAATGTAGAATATAAAATGCTACGCTATTTGGTTTCGTTTGAGGAGCTGATGAGATCAAGGCGAGGTCAAAAATGTGAACTTCTGAATAAAAAAGACTTTTTTAGGACAAGGCGAGGTGAAATGTAATGGAATCGTGAGGCCTATGTATGCATGTATGTATGTATTTTGGTTTATTTGCCTATTTGCATGTATGTATGCATAGATCTAGTCAGAATATTTCGGCCAGTGTAGCATAATTCTATCGGAACCTTGCGATTCACGAGGTCCTCGAACCAGTCTCGCTTGGTTCCAATGAAAATGCGCAGAGATTTCGAATAAAATTCTATTTGTCAGGCATAATTAGAGCTGGAAGTTATTCTCAAGTCAAGGAATCTAAGAAATCCTTCATCCCAGGTCATTTAAGGTGAATTCGCTGAGATAATGGAGTTTTAACCGAATTAATATGAGTAGGCCTTACTTAGCCTTGCATCCTAAAAGGTGTCCTTAGCTTGCGTGGAATGTAATCTTGACCTCTCCTTTTCGGAGCATCATGTGCTCTTAAATGAGCATTATATACGTATGGATGGATCAATTTATACACGAATGCATGTATGTATATATGTGAATATATACACACACGTGTGTAAGTATGCATTTAAGAGTCTTATTTGTATTAATGTATACATGAACTTATATATATATATATATGAAGGGGGCGGAAGTTAAAAGTTTCCAAGTAATGTATAGTAGTAAATGTTTCTATTTATGGCTATCATATAAATTATTCATTCATAAGATTATGTAAGAGACGTGAGAATCCCCCGTCTCCAATCTCTTCTGGGGAACAAGTCCCACATTGCTCTCCTCCTTTCACTGTCTACCCGATGAATTATGTGTTTATGTATGTACATTTGTATATATGAATATATCCATATAGGTTTGCATAGATAGAAACATAATCATATGTATGCCCGCTTAAATGTATGTGTTATATATGTATTTATATTTGATTGTTTGTACGCATGTGTTTGGATGGAGGGGGGGATAGTGGCAAGTATAAAACTGGACAAGTAACTTATAGCACTAAATATGCTGTCATTGGTAGTTAGCATATAAATTAGTCATTAATAGCATTTTGTAAGAGATATGAGAGTCCCTTGCCTCCCATCTCGCCTAGTAAGCAGGTCCCATTTTGCTCTCCTCCCTTCCCTGTCCGCCCCATGAATTATTCATTTGTCCTGGGGACTTTTGGTCCGAAGACAAGTAACTCTTGCCGAGCGGCAGACCCACGTCACTTTCGTTTTGCATGTCAAAATGGGCGTCGTTGTAAAATTCGATTAAGTGAGCACGAGGATGAGTAATGTGGAATCGGGTTTCCCATTGACCCAACAACTTTGCTGGTCCACAAGCGATTTGGGCAAGCTGAACACACCCCATTATCACGTATCGACAGGAAAGTGGGAAAAGCATGTCCAAAGATGAGCAACATCGGTGAACCTCTGCATCTAGAATATTCAGAGTCACTATGATGACCAAAATCGAACAACCCGGCGGAGTATGCAAATGCAGCCATAGACGCATGCCAGACGGTTCTCCGTTGTATTTTTCCTCAGACCCATTTCCAAACTAGTCTTCCCGAGTCGGACGTCATTCTGTGTCTATCATATTGTAAAAGCACATTTTTACCGTATTCGATGCAAATTTCACCAATATCGACATTGACGAAATTCACCAAAACCCAAGCCAAATTCTGAAAAGCAAAACAAAAATTTATTGCGTGCAACTCGACGATTACCATTTTGCTGAGCGTTTAAGAGCTTTATCTTGCCCCAAATATGACCGATTTGGTTGAGAGAGTGAAAGAGAGAGTGTGTGTGTGAGAGAGAGAAAGCGCTCGGCTTAGGTTCATTTAGGTCAGACGACGGTGCGATTAGAAGGGCTACGTTGGAGAAGACTATTCTATCTACTTAAATGACAGCGAATCCAGAAAAATCTAGTCCTTATTTCTATGAGAGATCCACCAACAAATCCCTTTCAAGCGACCTTACGTCTGAAATAAAAGAAGAAATGCCATACTTCTCTCATCTGTGCTCCCATTTCCTTTAGCTTTGAGCAATAGATCATCTAGAAAAGGGCAATATTTTATGATAATGAGCGTGTATATATGACGACCTATCTCCCACCATATCAACTGCTTGAATGACATATTAAAGTAAACGCAAATGCAAATGCACTTGCTACACAATATCGCTAAACTAGTTAATATGCTAGGACACTAATCGTCATGGTGACCGAGAAAAATATTCACTTGGGTATAGGAATATTTAAACTTATTATTTAAGCTTTTAATTCACTTTTTACTAGTAAATCCACCCCGATATCCTTTCTTCCTGCAGGCTAATATTGAATGAGTTCTTATTCCACTGAATAACGCATATTTTAGATAGACATTTAAACTCTATGATCCCTAAAACCCAAATATACTCGTTCTGTGATCAAAGAATGTTTTACAGCATAATCAACATCCGAGAAGACCCTCAGTGTCCCACAAGTAGCGAGACCAAATAAAGGAGATTCTGAGCTTTAAATACTACTCATATACTACTAGGCACGCCAGGTGCGCTGATCGTACCAAAGCAAGTCGTGTTGACTACAATCATTCTTATTTGGGCAAGTTTTTTAAAAAAGCTTACAAGCAAAAATTTTATTTCAATTTTTTATTTAAGAACTAGAGGCAAGTACTCGCCTAAAGGGGTTTGACACTTGAATATATCGAAGTAAGTGAAGTCAAATAGGGTAGTGTCATTTAGTCGGACAAACCACCACTGCAATTATAAATAAAAATTCAAGTGAAGGATTCGTTGGTAAATTATTGCGACATACTTTCCATCTCAAAGGAAAAGTTGGTTGAAAGGAATTGGTGAAGTGGTCGCCCTAGAAACAAGAGGAGGATTACCAAGGAAGGAAAACTGTTCGATTGTGCGAAGAAGTCCTCGGCTCACCGTCCTGCGACGCGGATAAATCTCTGCTAATCTTTCGTCTGTACTGTTCCAAACATATCTTAGAAAAGAGCGCAAAATGTATACAAAACCAATCAAGCCATTGAATTGGAAAGTTAAATGAAAATAATGATATTTGGGGATACTCATACAGAAGCAATTGCAAGAGAAAATAACGCAGAAATTTCTTCGGTAAATTATGTAATAAGTATAATATACACGAAACGAGAACAACTCTACTATGAGATAGGGGAGACAAACCAAAAGCACGAAAAACTTAGAATATTGGGAAGAAAAGAAAACTCGACGATGAATTATGGGGAAATTCAGCAGTTTGCATTCAAATAAAGGGAAAATCAACTCAATATTAACACTTCGAGATATTAATATAAAGACATTAAAAAAAATAAAAGGCATAAATATATGAAATGGAAGTTAGGAAAAAATGAGTAGCTGGGACGTTCATCGAAAATAAGCGATATTGCACGAATACACGAAAGAAAAAGCCGGTAAATAATGAAACGTATGGAACTACAGTAAAACAGGCAATACTATT